AATAATTGAAGAACTGGGGAAAACGTAAGGTTACTTTCACTATTTGGGTTTAATAAAATAATAGCTTACAAAAAAATTAGTAGGACTGAAGACGATAAAAATATAAATTAAAATTTGTACTATTATCTATTATCGTCTATCGAGCATCTATAAAATCCAGTATCGTATAAAAATGTAAATGCACGAAGTTTATGGCCACAGTCATACTATTAGGCTACTATTTTTCATGGTCCATTCTTAAACTATATTATATAATTGGTAATAACAAAATATATCGTCACCTAAAAATATAATGTATATTATGTGCTGTATTTGAGATTACACGGACGTTTAAATAATAAATAATAAAATAATATTATTTCTATATATTCTATTGTTTTTTGAAGTCAGTATAAACTTTTACAAATTACAATATACCTAATAATAGTACTAACAATAATGTCGAATAAAAATTATAAAATCACAATTAGTGATATTAAAACGTAATATTTTGTCAATAAGATTTTTTGACATTAACTCCATTACATAAACGAATAAGACCGTGAAAAACCGGTCAGTTTCCATAATATTTTTTTCTTCGTATAGCCAAATAAACAGTAGATAAACMATAAGTCTGAAACGTATGTTGTCGTAATATTATTGTTGCGTAAATAATATTACTGTCAGTATTATTGACAAAACATCGATTTTTGTAAAATATATTGTTAGCGTCGATGAAAAAATATAACATAATGACCGGAAATACGTAACATTCCTTGAAGGGACATTTGTTATATATCGGTTTCGGATCATAATAATATACTGTAATATCATATTAATATTTTATGAAAGTAAACTAATAACACTATCTAAACAGTCGGAGAAGGCGTCAGCATAAATCGTATCATATAACGCTGAGACTGTATGAATGTAGGTACTATAACTAGTATAACTGTAGGTAACCATCCAACGTGAACCGTGTTAATTATTCATTTGGACAAATATTAGAGCTATCGAACCATTAAATAATACTGTTAATCAATAATGGCATTAATTTGACTGAACGTGGCGGTGGCCCGTGATGRAAAACAATTCATATCCGTTATTGATATTATTTTGTAAGCATCACTTTGTGTCTGCGKTTTGCATGTGCAACGTTCATTTTATTTTATAGCACAATAATATACCATATTTTATACTTCTCAAAACGGATACAAAATATAGTATGAATCATCGATATAACACTACCTGCTTAATAGGCAAACTAAATTCATACTATCTATAATATACTAGCMGTCTACGATTTTTATTTTTAATTGAATGGATCATATTTATTTATTTGATAATTATGTGCATTGACTATAAAATAATAGAGTAGTGGTTACAGGTACATACAGTTTTTTTTCCTTTTGTTATYGTTATTATTACTGTGGTGAATAAATATCATGTTTTAATATTGCGTTTAAAAGAGACTACACAGTGCACTGTTGAACTCGAAAGACGATTACAATCAAAATTAAATTCATTGGAGGGTATTGAAAAATATATTGCAAATATATTTGTAATTGATAAATCATCAGAATTACAAATTTATRAAAACGCAACGTTTTTTAAATTATTGAATAAATAGGTACACATTTTGGAATACTTTATACCAAACAAATTGATTTATTTTTGAGAAAATTTTATTTTCATTTAAAATATCCCTTATTTTAATGAAATAAATAGTTTTGAAACTCATTTTACGTTACGACGTCAGATGTCTTAATAATATATCATAATATTGGTTTTATACTTTTTAAATTGAATTWTTGTGTTACGACCTCTATTTTTTACTCACTGCGATGTTTATTTTTCAGCTTGGGCTTGCGTTTAATGATGGGTGAATTTCCCGTTGAGAGAGCGCTGGAGCATCTGATCAAGGAATCGGCACATGGATGGCKGAGATTGAATTGTGATCGGCTTTTCCCTAGGTATGCAACTATTAGCAATAACTATTTATTTTAAAATAATCTTATTTATTCGGAATAGATACCAAAATGTTACAGACATAGTAATTTATTCTATCTAATGATTTTTATTTGAGGAAATAAAGCATAAGAACATAGTTATCCTATTGTCAAAATGATCATTGTATTCTCTATAATATCGTTTATGATGTAGGTAGTTCGGTCTGTAAGTAGGTTAAGGTGGTTAAACTGAGATGGCAGAAAATCAAATCAATGTGGAATAACGTGATAGGGCGAGTATAAGAGAGATATTAATTAAAATTTGATCATAAGGAAGTTTAATGTTTAATGTCAGATTTGTTTGTTACCTACATACACTCCGATGATTTTGACAAAATTCTATGGTTAATTATGACGCTTGCACTATTATAAAAAGATAAATATGTCGTTTGTAACGATACGAGTAGATTTTCACGGTTAAATGATCACAAATTGTTGTGTTAATGAGTGTACGTGGTTGGCACATTAAAATATCCCTGACCAACAATTTAAATTCCATAAACCCGATAAGGACTTAATTCAGGAAAATAATTCTGTATAYTTCTTTAAACATTACGTCGTAAATAAATGATTAAACTTTTTATTTTAGTCGACATTAAATTCCACGATCACACTTAAAAATATACAAAGTGGCATCTAGATTGAGATATGTCGTACTTATATGTATTCAACTAAACTTTTCTTGATACAAAAATAATATTTTTTTAATCATTTTGCAAATAAATGTTGTTGGTCATATATTATTGATTTATTACATAGAAAGATAACATTTTAATGTAAATAGGGTAAACATAGATAATTCTTATATTATCTATGGGGGCAAATAGCATTTATCTATACTTACCTATTAAATTGAGGGCTTTATTTTTAAAATAAAAAAAAAAAAATTATAGCTATAAGTTTAATAGATAAACAAAGAGATAAATATAGACGGATCTAAAGTTCTTTTTCTGAAAAATTACATACTGTAATCTAAGATATATAAATATAAAAAATGTAATATGTAAGTCATATACTCCCTCATATATATGCATTATTAAAATAGTCTATTGATATTACGAAAGTATATTATCTAATAAATTCTTTTGAACATACATTTTGAATAACAATAAGAGAAAATTCGTGTGTTTATAGTATCTATATAAGAAAAACAAATTTTAATACGCTATTCGCTTATAATAAAATACATTAAATAGGTGTCGGAATTGTTATGTGTCATAGGTAAATATCACTCTATATAGTTAGTTATCCTCCTTTTACTAAAGTAAGGTATTTATTAACTATTTACTTACCTACCATACTCAATAGGTGTGAAACCAAACTTTGTGTCCATCTAGATTTTTTTATTTCCTTTTGGAATGTTCTACTCTGAGCATTTGCTACATTTTAAAACGAATCCATGATTTGCTTTGCATATCATATTATGAATAGAAACGTAAGAAAATAATTGTGTAATATCACTGCATGGTATCAGCAAGTAGRTATAGGTAGAATACTTAATTTTAACTCACATGATATGTATAATGTACAATGTACATTGTACATATATATATATATAACTTTTTGAGTCTTAAAAATCGCATTAGGCGTTATCTTAAAAARGTCAATATAGAAATAATTATATTGCATACTTCTGTAATGGAAAAAAAGTCGAGACATAAATATTTTGTGCTCAAATTGAAAACTAAACGATACTGTAGTTCTGTTGTATAAGTGTTCTTTTTGGATTCGCATTTTCAACAGTACAACACTATATCCAATGTCATTTGTCATTAGTGGTCCACCACACTTTCACTCGGGTTTATTGATGACCATCTCTTGTTAGCGCATCAATTAACCGACCTTATTCCAATGGTCACGAGCCTTCCATACATAAATAAGTGGCCGATTTATATAATACAATGTATACACACAAAGTTAATGTTGTTAAAATAAACMGGAATAATAAGGCGACAACAATACTAATGTAGAATAAATACAAAAAACCTAGTATATAGAAAAATTAGTGATTGTTTACATAATTATTACGATATTTAAAGTGGTTTCTATTCAACGGAGAAAGCTGAATGTGTCAAACCACTAAGCACGATCGATATTATCAAATTATAATAAAAGATTATTATGTGTGCTTGTCCACTGTTAGTAAATATTWAAAATATATAACCGTTCGAGTCCGATACAATGAGGCCTTAAATATTTTTGTGAGAAGAATGTATTTCGGCCAAACAGTGTTATTGCAGTGCGTAACCGATTGTAATTATTTCAATAAAATATAGGTACTGTACGTTGTGGGTCACTGGTGTTGGTCTGTAGTACACTWCGACATACACAAAAATGCTTATCATTTAAATTTAAGCAATATTAAAATAAATTATAGCCATAATAAATAACCAATACCTAGGCAATAAAAAAATATAAATGTAATAAAAAATATGTGTCGCAAAATTGTTAACAGGTTAATAAAATTATCGAAGACGTTACTCTAGTTTTTGATTACATATTATGATATTATGATATTTATATTTTTGTTTTTTGTTAAGAATGTCATTTGATCTTTATCGAATAATATAAATATGTGGTATAGTTATAGTTTTTTTTTTAAATTTATCATTTAAATGCGAAAGAAATTTAATATTATGAAACTAAATGGTTCAAAGTTATATTGTTTATATACATATACTATTATACATAATAGAATTATGGATCTTTTTGATATTTCGTAATAATTAACAAAAAAATATACTTTCTAAATGAGCGTCTTATTATTGTCATTTGAATCTCTAGTGTTTTTAAAACTCACCGTTTGTATTGTGTTTTGCCTTTAAATTCAGTGGTGCTTCGTTTCATTACCAGTTTTAGAATTGTTTATTTCCGGATCAAAAGTGAAATCATCTTATGATAAATGCCATATATATATATATATATATATTTATGGAATTCACTAATGTTAAAAACATATTATTTCATTTTCATTTCAAAATAAAACACAAATAGGTACGTTTCGCTTTCTGCGYCTAATAATTATTAAAATGATCACTAGTCTTTGAAAAATGTATTAATTCCCTTCCGCTTAGTGGTATACTAGTGTATTGAGTATAGTAATAATATTGCAATCTAAGACGGATATCTCATGCTGACAAGGAATCGCGACTATCATCCGTGGAGTGTTTATACGTTCAGATATTTATACAGGTACGTAACCTGCACTGTCCTCGGTCAAGCTTAACGGTTGTTCAGTTGTGGGTGTCAGGTTCAATAATATTATTGAATTGGAAATTCGGTGACCTTGCTGTTTGGAGATCAGTAGCACGACAACGTCCGTACCTCGCGTTATGTGTTCTAAAAATAAATAAATACCTACGTCCAAGGTCAGTGTCCTTGGACTTGAATAATATTATCCATCCGTTGATTCATTTGATGTAAGACACCCATTATTTCGAAAACTACTAATGTTTTATACTTAATATTTCAAGTCGTTTAAAATTGTCTTACTATTTATTTTTCAAGTTTAAAATTATGCATTTTAAATCCCTAATTTCAGAGGAGAATATTGTTTGGAGTACTTCGATGTAAAAAAATCTAATTTTACCCGAGTAGGTTTTTAGTTATATGTATGTAGTTTAGATGAACGGAARGACTGGGTACAGGGGCTCCAGTTCAGTACTCTGATCTTCTAAACCTTGAATTTATATCTTTTTGTAACTTAAAAACTATGATATATTATACATACTTGAAATAAAATTCTGTTCCGGAATATAAAATGAAAAATATATGTATTTTCATTTAAAAGAGTAAAAAACTTAAATAGTTATAACGGTAAAAAATGGTTTTTCCAAAAATATTGTTTTGTAACGACCTACAATTATGTAAATTAAATATTTTTAAAAACGCCATTGTATTCCCAAAGAATGAGTGTTTTGCGTTAAATGGATTACCTTGTATGCATTTTAATATGTCGTGAGAATTATGAATATTTTACACTATATTATTATACTGTAACTGTACCTACCGTTTGGCCGGCATGTCAGTATTTCGTAGAGTTGTACATACAAAGGTAGGTACGTAAGTGAAAAGAGATATAAAAGACAAATACGTATGCTAACTACCAACGACATAATAATAATAATAATAATAATAATATGTATGAAACGACTCACGTCTAAAAATGAAAAAATGACGTTTTTCAATCAAGTCTGGGCAATGGGGAACTATTGTATGGTTGTGGGAAATAATACATAAGATATTGGCCATCGTGTCAGTAGGCAATAGTATATAGGTAGGTAATTACTGTTATAGCTTGAGTGACAAACAACTGACACGTTTGCTCTGTTCGTTTCCTCGGTGATAGCATGTGGTATAGGTACAGCCGTAGAGGCGTATAGTTACCTATTAAAGTCAAATAATGATGAACATGTGATTTTTAAGAGCAAGACGTTTTAGATTATACGGAAAAACATTATTATTATTATGTGTGCGTAATAATATTATTTTATGAACTKTTTATGGTGTTCCCCGGGCTAAAGTCTCCGGGAAAGAAGTATCCAGYTTTTGATTAGGTAAACAAGAAGCACAATAAACATAGAATAAAATATGTCCAAAAATAAAAATTCAAAACTTCAAAATAACAATAATGTTGACATATAATTTATAATATTTTAATAAAGCAWCTCCTACTGAGGTAACCTAATCAGCCACTCGCTTGATTTTCAGCATTGAATATTATTGAAATGCGCTCGTGTGATTCTTAGAATAATAATTGTTGTTGTTAATAATAAAAACAAAAGAACACACCGAGATCGACAATTATTATAATATTACTTCCTACCGGCTTAGYCGTATATAATATATTATGTAAACAGTATAATGTATAAGTATACCATACGTCTATACCTATTACCTGGTAATGATTATCATATCCATTACCCTACGCATTACGCATACACCAGTTGTTTACGTCATGTAAC